GTGGGAACAGTCTAAAAGCAATTCAAATCCCAAATCAAAATCACGTTTCATCAGGCTGCCTGATGATTTGTCTTTGTTTTAGTATTTTTCATCATTCTTAAATACGAGCTAGTCTGTTGAGAGAGCTCAACTGCAGCCCTCCACTGGGTGAACCTCTGTTCCAAGGAAATGCAGCACACAGACTGTAACCCAGGAGCTCAGGCTAAGACAGGACTGGGACAGGAGTCACTCTGCACAAGCCTGAGACAGTTTCCACGCTCCCTCAGACCCATGCAGGGGTGAAGGTTCAATAACCAGGCTCTTCGGCTCCAGTGTAGGCAGGCTCAGCAGGTAACGTGCTTGTCTGGACTGAAGCATGTCCACTGCTTCAGTGGCCTCTCAGCTGGGAGTTTACCATCGACGAGCTTTAGTGCTGGCTAGGCCCTCAGCTATCTTAATTGTCAGCGAGCACCAAGCAGCAAAAAGACAGGTCTACAAACACATGGGCCATCTGTCTCATTTGTCTAAGCACTGTTCTTCAGATTTTCAGATTAGGACCAGAATGAGTTCAAGAAGGGATAAAGATCCACTGTAGGGGTATTGAAGAATTGCTCATGAAGAGGCTTGAACCTTTATGAGGTGTGGCAGCATGCAGGCTGCTCAGGTGTCACACCTGGAGAAAGCTCAATTCCCAAAATACTAACTGCTTCCTTTCCACCAGAAGGGACACCAGCGTGTCGTCGCCACAGGATAAGGTCTGCCAACCCGAGTTATACCCAGGTCCTAGTTAGCTGATCCAGAACTGCAAACAGCTCTCTATTCATCCAATTAGAACCCCTCTCAGAGCTTCCCTGGCATCTCTTCTGTATAAACCTTTATAATAGGGGGCACCCAATTTCCCACAACTACTAAAGCTGCTATGCCACACTGTCCTTAACCTCTAGCCACACCTGGGGCACGGGGCAACACAACCCAGGGGGTCTGAGGGGCTGGAACCCCGCTCAGCTGAGAGAGGGCGGGGCACAGGGAACACCCATGGAGCACCTGCTGCTGTTAACTGGGGTACCAGGAAGACCTTTGAACCCACCGCACCTCATGGCTTCACCCTTTGATGTGGCTGTTAGAACTGGGCAAAACAAGTCACGGCACTCTCCTGCCAGGGTACAGCACTTATTCATCCCGCTTGCTGAAACGCAAGGAAAACAGAGCAATTTCTTCTCGGATCAGTTTGCCAGCACACTCTTCCTGAACCAAGGAGGAAACTGGGGGAGAGGCCAACCACGGCCATGAGTGACAGGCCCAGGCTGTCTGGACTGGGACAGAGGGCTCGAGCTGGCTGGCTGGCCGACGTCCCTGCGGAGAGACGCCAGGGTGAGACAGATGTCCTCTTTCCAAGTTGAGCATAACGCCTAAGGAGACTTAGGAAATTCCCCGTCTGTCACATTTTACAAGAGTTTAACAATGACAGAGTAACTGTGATATGTAAGAAAAACAAAGGTCCTCTATCTCAAGATAAACAACTGATCTGAAAACGCAGAGCCCCACCATATACAAGGAAACCCCAAACAGTGGAAATATCCAGAGCGCTCAGTTACTTACGGTAAAAATATCAGCCATCTGCACAACTGTCTGCTCCAGACCCTGCAACGTACACAGCAAACACGCTACCAACGATCAGCAGTCAAGGCCATATTCATTTAACTTGGCAGTGTTCTGTATTCATGTAGCCTTTCTGCCAAACCTGAACACAGACTGGGAGAACGTGTAGTTGTACAATTAAAATCAGCTGGCTGCCTTCACTGGAAAGAAAGAAGTGGCATACCTACAGTAGGTTTTACAGACGGTTTTCCGAACTCATACATCAGAAAGACCACCGAAACTAAAATTATTCTGCAGCTAGGATCACACATTCTCCCTTCCCTTAACGACAGATTACTGTTCTTTTAAATTTTCTCCATTCATTGGAAGTTTCATTTCACACCTCTCTGCACCCATTCTGACTTCACACCTCCCGATTGGCCTCTCTTTCTGTCCCCTGCTCCCGCCTCTCACTCCTCCTCCCTCCCATCCTTTGTCCTCCTGCTACTTTACCTTTGCCTACTGCCCTGTCTCTCTCACACCTGAAGGCTCCACGGCCGAAACGTTGTGTTCTCTTTCTTCTTTTTTTCAGCATGGAATAAACCTATTACTTGTTCCTTTGCAGCCTACGCATGCTGACACAGCTACCCACCTGAACTACTACTACCTACAGTAGGTACAATAGAACATTTGCAGCATCTAAGACCTACTGGAAAATAATCTTAACTCCTAACATTTACACAATGCTTTTTATCTCAAAGGGTTTGGAAAGGCTTTTACAAATAGGGGGCTGTATTGTGGAAGCCTTATACGAAACTTAGCCAGGACACCAGGGCTATCATTCCCATGCTGAGAAACTGTCACCAAGCAGCCAGGAGCTGAGGTTATGTTATCCACTGAAGAAAATAATGCCAACACACCAGATGACCTGCAGCACGAGTTCGGAAATTCTGGTCTGGAGGCAAGGCTGTGATGGGGCGGTAGAACACCACTTTCTAGTTCATGGAACACTTAGAACAAAGCCTGGTTCTGAAAACCCTTGGAATCACGGCACGTACTGCAACATCACAGCTGGCTGGATGCAAATCAGCCAGAGGAACGAGAGGTTTCAGTCTCATTGTAGCGGCGAGAGATGACGAGGCACCCCCATCCTCAGAGTTTCTGTACACTGAACCCCAAACTCGGGCTCTGAAAAGGAAGAGCCAAAGTTTGACCTTTGTCTGCAAAGCTACAGTTCATGATGGAGAAACTCTCTGGGAAGCAGCAGGCTGCTGCTAGACATGCCAGGACTGCAGACAGAAGAAACTACATCTTTGATCATCCGAAGCAGTAAGACCAAAACAGGCATGCTCGATGGGGAAGAGATCACAAGTCTTACCTCTGAAAAGAGCATGAATAAATCCTCAGATCCATCATAAAAATAAACCCCCAATCGTCAGATAGGCAAAGGAAGTCATGTCTGCATGCCTGAGCCTCACCCACATCTCGACAGTGTCTGAAAATTTCCATAAGACCCTGTGACTTTGGCCAATGACGTTGCAAGGGGAACTGTCACCTCCTAGACAAGCTCGCAGCACCCAGTCAGTTTAAGTACCACATAAATGAAGCTGTGCATCATGCCCGCATAGAGCAAAAGCTGTTACATATAGCTCTTCTGGTATTACTACACCCTTTAGTGTGCTTTCGTGTTGTAGCACATAAACCGGCCCATTGTTTTTCGATGTGTATTTTCACTAGCTCAAAGCAGTACAGTGTAGACTAGGATGAGCACGACATACACGTGGGGACTTGTTCACAGGAAAAGGTTTGTGGGAAAAAGAGCTACCGTTAAAAAAAAAAAAGCTGTGAACTGCAAAAATCCATGAACAAAGCTGCTAACACTTCTATGCGGAGTCTACCAGACTCGAGGATATTTCCATCCTTTCCCCAGAATGGCTAAAATCCAAGAGGGAGGGAGGGCTCCTGGGAGTACAGAGGGATTCTGGGCCAGGGAGTGGTGAGCCCCTGGCCGTCAGCGGGGCCGAGCCACTCCAGTCCTTAGCTGAAAGCGAACTGGAACGAGTCCCTCCCTCTCCGATACGCAGCTGGGGCCAGTCCCTGCCGTCTCTCCTTCACGGACCGCTCAGACAGGCTGGCTCCTCACCAGGATGGACAGAAGGCATCCATCTTGTGTTTCGGAGCCTGTGGAAACTCAAGAACAGGGCTCTCGCACTGAGCTCCAGGGAGATCTTCTGGTGTCCGTTCCACGCCCCTCCTCGCAGTTACACAGCTGGCTAAATTAACGAGCAGCATAACCAACACTTCTAAACAGGTCCAGATGTGATTTATAGGTAGTTGTACTGTTAATGAAGTGAACGTCTTGTGCAATCAACTGCAAAAGAACTTAAGAACATTTTCTGAATTTGACATTCAGGACTTCATTTAAGATTTGAAAGGAGAGCTGCATCAACTACCAAGGACCATGTAAATGTTAATTCCGTCTTGAAAAGTATAAAGGAGAAAAATGTTCATCAGTTGAGTTCTCTTCAGTTGTTTGTCCTTTCTATTTTTCAGCATGCAATTAACATTTATTTGTTCCTAATTATTTAATTGCCAACTATTTGAAACAAAAAAGAATGCCCTCCAGAAACTGAGCACAAGACCCCTGTTCTCCAAACTACTGGCACGAGGACAGTCTTGCACACAGAGCTCAGAAGAGCCATGCGCCAGACCTGGATTTCAACTGGAGAGGACGCGCCTCTGGCCAGACCCTATGATCTAGAAGCAGAAATAGAGAGACTTTCTGACACACTGCAAGAAATACTCAGGGATTGGAGAAACACTCTTCCTTTAAAACACCGTCAACCAGAATTCATATACCTGTCTATTTTAATCTTCTATTAGACCCAGATTCTAATATGGGTGTCGTAAATGCTCATGCCAATTGCTTTCACAACCCTGGAATTTATCAGTCATGCCAATAAAGCTTTTTGAATTTGGAAGGCAACACCAGGCTGCTCCAACCACACACTGCACTGATTTTCTGCCATGCTGTAATTAAAAGAATAGTCTACCCCCTGTGACAGGTGCTTTATAGCTACTGGCATTGAATGAGAGGCTTATTTTTCTTTTAACGAGACTGGACATGGAAAACCCAAGCTGGCCTGATTAAAACCAGTCTGGTTCCTGGGCCAAACTTGCCCCTCGCTATGCAAGTTTAAGCTTCACTGCCTGCTCTTGGCTCTGGGGCCCAGGGAACCGGCCCAGGACGGCAGCTCTGGACAGCACGCAGCTTGCTCTCCGCATCAACTGCAAGATGACAGCCGCGCTCTGCCTTTCCGGAAGGGCACAGGACTGACGGGAGAGGGAGCAGACTCCTGGGATACAGGGAGAGCAGGACTCCCTCTGGCACCCGGCACACACAAGGCAGAGACAGAGAAAGAGAGAAAAACAGGGCACAGGAAGAGGTCGAAATGAGGTACCTTTTACCTTTATTGGTTTTTTTTTTGTTTTTGAACGGAATTTAGACTTAGATGGAAGAAGATTCTGTAAATCTCCGCACAAATCCTGTGTGTTTGCCCCCGTACACAGGCCAAGCACCTCCACTGCGCCGAGCAACACCCCTCTCCCCACCAGCCCCGCCCACGGAACAGATACAAACCCCAAAAACTCATCCAGGCCTGCGTCCAACTGCCACCCCTCTTCTCAACCAGACAACCCATCTGCGATCAGCTCGTTGACTTAAAAAAACGGTTTGTTCTACTGTTTACGTAACTCGTGTAACTACAGTATTTCTTTAATACTGATCCCCCCCCCCCACCCACCCTTCCAAAAAGTACACATGGAAACAAATGGAAATAAAAAGCTTATAGAATTCTTTTTCCTCAATGTGTCAATTCCCAGTCCCGAGTTTGTGCAGCATGTGGCCGATGTCACACCGGACACCAGAGTCTTTTTAGAGGGGCCTCTCCGGGTCCCGGCTGTCCTAGTACTTCACTCCCGGCACAAACTCCTTCGCTTCAGGGTTCAAGCTGCTCTTGCGCTGCAGAACAGAAAACAGAGCGAGACTGATGGGGGGCGAGAGTGATGGAGGCAGAAGTGAAATTGTCAAACCCTAACTGCCAAGAATAGTCTTCAGCTGTCCTCTATCTTCCTCAGTCTTGTTGTAAAAAAAGGTACAATTGAGTTTCCGCATAGAATCAAGCACCGTCGAGTTTATTTTTAAAGCTTATTTTATAGCTTATAAATAATTTTCCCTATGCAACAGCCTTTTATGTTTTTTCCAAATGGCCCTAGAGCAGGCTGCACAGGGTGCCAGACACTTAGACACAGGGAATGACGAGCTGGACTGAAGGGCTCACACACTGCAACACACAATTCATGCCATTTTTATTTCAAATGGCTGAATCGATGTAATAAATCATCAAGCGCCCTGGTGCGGCAAAACATGCATTTCAGCTCCGATTTTATTTTGGTGGAAATGCTGTCCAAGCCAAGCTCCGGCTCCCATTCCGAGGGCTACAGGACGCTGAGCGGGCGCAGGCCACTGTCCAGAGCAGTGAATGACCGCTGGCCGCTGTGGTCAGCGACCTGCGGCAGGAATGTGGACAAGGATGGAGTGAAAGACCTCCCCTCCCTAGACGGATCGATTTGACAAAGCATGGACAGAAATATCACTCGGCAATACAGGGAAGAGCGAAAAGCTTTCAGTCCCCGTTGAAGACAACCTACACATGCTGCCCGCACAGGGCGAGAGCAGGCAGAGGAAGCATGCGAAGAGCCCAGTGCCGCGCGGGGCCCTGCAGCAGACACCGCGAGCGAGTGAGCGGGGAGCGCCGCGCCGCGCGGGGGCCGAGGCCACTCACCACGATGTCCTCGGTTGTGCTGCCGTCGGCGACAGACAGGCCGTTGAGCTGCTGCTGGAGCTGCCCCACCCCCGAGGGGAGGTCCCGCGCTGGAATAAACCAATCCTGGTCCTCCTCGTCGAGCATCTCCTGGAAACAGCGCTCCAGGAACTCCTGCTCCAGGAGCTCCTCCTCCACCTGCGCGGGAAAGAGGCGGCGACATGGGGGCGTCAAGGCAAGCACCTCTCTCCTGCGCCCCGCTGCACAGGAGCGGAGAACCGCCCAGCCGCGAGACAGAGGCTCATGGGGGAAAAGAGCCACGAGTGCTCTTGCCCTCACCCGAGCCTGATGTGGTTTAATGTGTGCTGAGCTGTGCACAGGTTTTGCCAGCCGAGTGAAACGCCACAGTTCGTGTTACCTGAAGAAACTATTTAAAAAATGTGACAGCCCTCACCCCCCTAGGGAATGAGCTGGTGTGACGTCTCTGGGAAAACCACTTGGCACCCCCTCCCTCCTTTGTGGCCACTTACAGACCCCATCAGCGGGAAGGTTTACATGGGCGTGCTGCGCAGGGGGTCAGGCTCCATCAGACAGACCGACCGTGACCAGCAGCTCTTTGAAATGAGCTACCTTTGGCTCTAGGGGACAAAAGCCTTACTTCCAGGCCAGGAAAAGAAACGGATTTTGGATATTTTTCCAAGTTGGAAGTTCTTGTGGCAAGATGACTACAGCTTAAGGCACAGCATTGCGACATTTTTTTAAAGAAACATGCAGTAAAGTTACTTTCATAGGAAAATGGCCATAAGAAAACAGAGAGCCTTGCAGAAGTGCTTGGAACCTTACAGTTTCGCATCCTGTTGCTTTAAAGCTTCCTGTCACTTCAAACATCATGATTACAGAAGTATTCAAACCCGTTGCTGTGGCAAATCTAAAAATCCAGAGGGGCAAAATTACCTGGAGCCACACAGATGAGTGCCCTCTGTGTGTAATCCCAGTGGGTCCCATGATTTTGAGAATAAAGCACGCCTGTCTACACGCCTGTTTTTTTTAGTAAAGAATCAACAACGAAGACCAAGGATATTTCAAAACAAATCAAAGTTGCATAATGGTACATATATAAGGAGAAGGGAACAAAATTATTTCAAAGACATCATATTTGCTCTTATAACATGGTGAAGATTATCACTCAGAAGTGGAATTCACCCAGGCTGTCCCTCCACACCAAGCAGCCAGGTAAGGAGGAAACCTGTGAGAGGTGCTACTCTAAGGCCAGCTCTGTGAGGGAGAGAATATAGCCTTGTATCGCCTATATTCCAGTCACTCCACAAAGGAGCTTGTACGGAACTAAAAAACACCTTTAAAAAGTTTGCAACAGAGCACCTAAGAGATACTGCAAACATGGCAAAAGGTTTTTAGCCAGACAAGACAAAACTGGAGCCTTTTGGACTAAATGATGTGCATTACATGAGATAAATCCAACACAGGGTGTCTGTCAACACCATCCCTATGGTCAACCATGGTGGAGCATTGTTATAGTTCTGCATCTCCTCAGCAGGGACTGGGGAGCCTGTCAGGACTGATGGGAACAGACGGAGCAAAGCACTGGCAAATCTTGCAGGACAAAGCTACACCGGAGTGGCTTAAAAACAAGAAAGTGGACGTTCTTGAAGGGTCCAGACAAAGTTCTGATTTAAATTCTAACACAAATCTGTAAAAAGACCTGAAAACTGTTGTCCATAATGTGTATGGTTTCATAATTTCACAAACTGGGACAACATTAGAGTCTGAATACATTTGCAAGGCTCTGCTGATGCAAAGTTTTTGCACCTTTTATTTCTCATTCATATTTAAGTGAAACATGTCCCACATCGAAACTGGGACACTGAGACATGAGCTTTTAAGACTGGTTTTTAATGGAAATGGAATGTTTAAGCATCAATTCTGGCAATTAATTACTGTGTGCAGCAAATGTCACATTCCTGCTGATTCAACAACTGATAAAATTGTTGCAGAATTAAGTAGAACAGCAATTACAAAATACCACGGCCCCTTTCTTACATACAACAATACACAGTAGTGAATAAAATATTCCTCCCCGATCTTTACAACCCCATCTTGTGTAAAGAGCTCCCTCTTGCCTGCGACCCAACAATGGGCAGCGATAATTGTGTACGTACATAACAGCCTGAAAGCTCAATGGCGGTGTGCTGGTATTTCTGGCCTTTCGAAAAACAGCAAACCTATCAGTACCCAATCTGGTATTCAGATGCAGATGGACAGAAGGAAGTTTACATAAAATGTTCCTGTTGGTTAAGTTCTTGGCATTTGGCAGCTGTGTGTATTGTACGTGTTATTTTTTAAGTTTTCAAGGTTAACCTAGCAGCATGTTATGGTTCATACATTCTTTTGGAAAAAGCTCCACGTCAATGGTTCTACTTCTATTACTTTTCTGCCCGTCTGTCAAAAAAAACATTTTGTTGTAACTTGGGAGCAATTTCTCATATTTCCAAGCCCACAATACTTTGGCACAACCTGTGCAGCATATCAAGTAGGGAGTTGGGTCAGCATGCATAGGCTGTAAAAGACAAGGTAAAGGTTTAATCCAGCTGAAAGGGAAGGAAAAACCGTTTCGGCTGTGGAGCCTTCTCTAGGTGTGAGGGAGAGAGGGGGAAAGCATTTCAGTCCATCCGTATTTTACATCCACACCTGGTCACTTCTTACGTAATTAATTTCTTGTAATAAAAGTGATTTAGCTACATAGGGCTCTAAACCACAAAAGTACCAAAAGTGAACCATCTTCACTTGGGAAGAGAGCAAAGGCTCTTTCACTGACAACGTAAAAGTTCCCTAAGCTCTTAGCTAGCATTGGCTTTTGTATTTCAAAGCTTCAATGTCCTCTGTGTAACCAAGCAGTCGTCCCCCCCCTGCTAAGGTGACAATAGCCTGGCTGGGCAGTGCAACCACAACACACCGCACGAAATTCACGAAAACTCCACGAGTGCAACACCGATCATCGTCCCCAAGCCCTTCTTTTTTTAAAAACTTTAAACGGGGGGGGGGGGGGGGGGGGGGGTCTTTTCATAGCGTGCTTTATCACTGAAGTATTTGGAATTGGATGGGGAAAAAAAGACCACGAAACAAGAGAAAATCACACAGAACACATTACCACGCTATAGGCAAGAAGGAAGCAATAAGCCGCAGGAAAGACAGGGGATTCCTGTGGCTCTGTCAGCTGCACGGCCTCGGCTGCTGCCGCTGCCTGGACCGGCTGGCCTGTGAAAGCAGGCTGCAGGGCGAAGTTCCCCGCTCAGCCCGGAGAACAGGGGCTGCAGTCTGCCCGTCAGGCGCTCTGGTACCGCCTGTGATGGGCCGATCCTCAGCACCACTAGGGCAGGGGGTACAAGCAGGGAGCAGAAGCTCAACTCTCCCCGATGATCCCACACAGGCCCAAGGCAGGTTCAGGCACGACTGACAGGCAGCTGCAGTGGGAGGAACTCGGGAGAAAGCGGGGGGAAAAATCCTGGCATTTTCCCCACTGTTGCCAAGAAAAAGAAGAGGCGTCACAGAGCAGTCAACGAAAGGGCAGATGAAAGAAACCTGGAGGGGATCCGTGCCTCCCGTCTTTAAATCAGATAAGTCATATAATTTTAAACTGACCTTTGAGTCTCCGTCTTTGGTGGCCAATTACCCTTAACAGCTGTGCGGAACAACTGGCAGGAAGCCCTGACCGCAATTAGCATGACGCGCAAAGCAGTATCCAGGTACACATGTAAAGGGCTTCTTTCTCCGTTTGCTCATCTAAGCTTTCTTTGTTTCCCCATTTCTGGGTAAAGGCCTTTAAGCAAGCTTTGAACCAGACACAAAGTATGCAGTTATCAAAATTCAATGATGTTTACTTAGAAGAAACCCAGACAAAGGTATTTCACAAAGAGCATAACTGTGTAGTGTCTAGGCACACACCAGATCGCTGCCTCCTGGACGTAACAATTAGCTGTGGAGTGATTAATTAGACCAGAACCGGTTAGGTCTGAAGTAGCGCAGAATCTGGGTTGACACCCAAGACTTGTTCATTTGCCTTTATTAGGTTGCGCAACAAACCTGCAGCCTTGCAGATCGGTCACACATGACAGTGCGCCGCAACACAAACGAGACCGGCGAACACAAACGAAATCAACCGGCCTTCACAAGTCCTCCTCTCCCTTGTAACCTCTCTGAGCTCAACGCACATGGCCGTTTGGAAATTGTACGAGGCTTACATAGTTTTATGCACCCGTTGAAATAACGTACCACACGGCAGCATGAGCTTTTACACACCACAGGAGTTCTCCCAGCGCGCACAAGCATGTCAGGCTCTCTGTCCCAAATGACTTCCCATCAGGTTTCTGTCACCCGTGTGAAACCATCCCCCCAAGGTGAACTTGTCCACAGGGACAGGTCAGGATTCTGTACACGTGGATGAATCCTCTTCTCTTCCTCCTCTGCTCCAGACTGAAGAGATTAAGCGGCCTGTCTGCATGCGAGCCAGGATTTTCGGTGCTCTTCCTCGCCCTGCAACGGAGCACGTGGCGCGGAGAGTTAGGGTACACTCACCTGCCGGTTGTACTCCTCCTCGTTCTCCATCCACATGTACTCCGCGAAGGGGTTGGGCTCGCTCTCCCTGTGCCCGTTGGTCACCGGCTCCTCCTTCCCTGGCGCGCTGCCACCCCCCGGCGTCTTGGCGACCTCAGGCCCGTTCATCTCTGCCGGCTCTGTGGGAACCGGGGACAAGGAACGTCACGCTCACAGCTGTCCCTGGCGGGAAAGGGCCTCTTCGGGGATCCAGGACGATCGAGCAGGACACAATCACTGCAGCGCAGCACGGCACGGCACGGCACGGACACCTGGCTTTTTATGAACGATGGAAACTTAAACGGCAAACAGCATGTCTCAAGAACCTCTAAATTGTAGCACTTCCCTTCCCTAAGGAAGCAAACAGTTCTGCCAGCTAGCCAAAGAAATGCCGAACTCTACCCATTCCCAGAAGCCCCATGGCCTCATCGCTGGCAGCACTGCAGGGACTGTGGCAGAGCGCAGGTGAAACCCAGCACACGGGAGAGGCTGCGAGTCAGGCCACTCACAATCGAGTCCTCCGAGATCTCTCGGACCCCGCACAGGCCTGACCCGAGTCTGCCCGCGCTATACGAGCAGCAGCTGCAGTAGCTACAGAGAGAAATGACAGAAACAGGCAAGAGCACAGCCGCCCTTGAGAAACGACTCATGCGGCAGCCCCCTCCTCGTCGAGAGCTGGGATAATGAAGATAATCAACCCTTTTATCAATCATGCCACCTCATGTTCTTCAACACAAAGGGCCAAACCTTCTATTCCTGCACACTAGAGACAGTCCTTTCCACTGCTAAAATGTTAAAACCTGTTCTGACTTTAACTGTTGTTGATGTGTGATGAAGTGGAGGTTTTTCTATTCAGGATTTCCTGTTGTGCAATATGCTTTTTAAGTTTACCCACTGACAGACAACCATTAATGGGTTTTACAGAGGGACTGTAGTCCAAATTTCTCTGGAACTAAGGTTATGCAGTATTTCACACACTCCAAATGAAGCACATGATCGTAAGCTTTGTGAAAGTACTGTAAGTCACCATGTTGTTGAGAACCCCTGGTCTGGCCACGGGTGCGAGTCCTCACGAATCGCGACGTGATGCAGCCCTTCCTGCTCACTAGTCACCGTAGTGACTGATGTAAGTGACGTACGAGTGAATAAGTACAGATTGCGCAGCAGACATTTCACCTCAGAAATGTTTCGGTGTGATCTGCATTCAGATGTGTTGGCAAGACCGTCTTGAAGTCCAGAGCCATATGTCTATTAAAAGGGATGTGTCCACAAGCCTGCGTGTTAACAACACAAGACTGTAACACACCACCAGACGTTCTGTAGCCTCGTCCTGAATCACAGAATACAGCGCTGTGCATACCTGGACATTAGGGTCTATTTTGTGATGTAAATTTGAGGTTTTACAAGTTACTGTGTATATTTCACTTTTATTTTGGTTTAAAATGCACTTGTCAATGCCGATTCTCTCTAACCTCAAAATATAAAAATAGCGTTTCAGTTCCCGTTTAACTGTAATAATGTTACACAACTCGCATACGTGCAGTCGCTCGTCACACATACATGAGTGTACAGTGACCCCGCAACTGAGAAACCAAATTCGCTAGTTTTGCCTCATATTAACCCTTTGATCTGAAATACAAATTTCAGTTCACTGTCCCAACATGCGCAATTTTCTCCGATAATGTTCTGCAGGTCCTGACGGCCCGGGACATTGGAGCCTGGAACCTGGACCCAGGACGGGAGAGCCAGGAAACCTCAGCTACCTGACACAGACAACCCTGACAACAGACCCAGGACAGCAGCCCCGCACTCTGCAGAAACTGCTCAAGATCCAATATTAACAAACGAACCATGAACCAATGTATCCCAAACACATTTACGTCATCCTCTTATCCATAGCTATTATATCGTTTACTGCTGTAGAAATGAAGAGTGAAGAGAAATGTAATAATTTAAATTCACGTGTGCATATGGAGGCACAGCATAAAAAGGGGATGGAGAGGAGTCAGGGACATGAGACGGAGGGAGAAAAAAAAATATGAGATACAATGAAACATTTAGGGTTATACAGTGAAATTCACTTTTCTCCCATTGTACTGAGCAGCAAAGACTGAAGCCATAACATAACAGCTTCATGGAAACATGACATTTTTCCATTTCAGCCCAAAAATGCTCGGACAGTGCTTATATTTCCCATCAGCATTCGGACTTAAAACCATGTACACACTGAGCTTCTTGGGACATATACTACTTTCAAAAATAAAACAGTGCTGTTTACTGTAAAACAAAGTGTTTAACTGTACAGTATAGAAAATTTAATAAAATAATTCTGGATCGTGTCTATGTAAAAGTGTAATGTATATCTTTACATAAACCATGAACTTGCACTGCAGTATGTAGATCGCAATTGAGAATGTTATTGGGAAGTGATTTTATGGAAGGCATCCTTTTCATCTTTGTAACCGCTCTTCTGTTTAGGAAATGTAGCTCTGAAGAAGAGAAACTGCCCTGATGAGTTACACTTGTCCTCGTGAATAAACGCCAACATGGAGAGGGATCAGAGAGAGAGAGAGAGACCAGGAACTAACAAAAGGAAGAAGCTACACCAATGGACCTTGTTCTGCTTTTGGTTCTTAAGAACGACTGAAGTTTATGAAAATAAACTTAGTTTTCCAAACATTTTTCTAGCTCTGCGCATTCTTTTAACTTCTAGCCAGTTTCTGTAGCTAGTTGGTTGTGGCACCGCAAAGCTACAACCCACAGGTGTGTGTTCTACCGGCTGGACTTGCCCAAATATCAATCAAGCAGGACATAGCTGGAAAACGGGCTACAAAAACAGGTGACGGATTCTGCAAAACACAAGGCAAGAAAAATCAAGTTTCAAGAGCACTGAGTGTTTGTTTATTTTGCAAATACAGGTTAAAGTTCATAGAAGAGTTTTCTTATTTCGTTCTGAATTTAGCATTTTGTGGCAGTACATTCAATTAGATTGCTTTTCTCTGAATTATTAAATGGAAAAACAGATCAATTATAAGACTACTTGAATCAAAATCAATAACCTTTTCCCTCAATTTGCTCAGCACCTTTAACCTAGCACATGCACACAGAACAAGCTAGTACACGCATGAAAACACACAGTGAGTCATGAAGCTGTGCCGAAAACCACTCTCCTTAGAAATGAGATGACATCACTTCCTGTGTTCTCCAGGGTGCAAGCAGACCGTGAGCTGGGCCTCAGCGTATCTCGGTTTGCTTTTACAGTGAGAGATGCATGCAGGAGAAAAACGCCGGAGCCTGTGCCTGTGTGAAGATTAAAAACAGCCCCATCAGCAGTGCAGACTGGCCTCAGAAGGGACTCAGTGGTAAAGGGGGCCGCAGTGGAGTGGACAAACAAAGCAGCTGCTGACAGGACACACCACCTCAGCAACATCTCTCGCCCACTGCTGTCACTGGAAGCGCCAAAGCCGTGCAAAAGGGCTGCTCATTATTACAGCTCCCTCTCTACTTAACCCTCACCATCTCCTCATCCACTAAAACACCGCGGAGACGAGCAAATCTGCAAGGGGAGGAAGAGGTGTGCAGGCACCCTGGTCTGCATACGAGACACTGCAGGTCTGAAAACTCTCCCAGCTTCCTCGAGATACACGCATGCCCCTTGCTGTCCACAAACAACCACTGCCCTCAACACACAAAGCAAGGAGATGGGAGACATTCAGTATTTTAAGACAAAAGCACTTACATGCACACAGCACTTCGATCTGTTGTCACTCCTCAGACAAGGTTGTTGAACTGAAAGCCAGCAAGCAATCTTCATGCAGGACAAAACGGTACAGAACACAAACCACTATTAAACCTCTATTTAACATTACGGCACAGACGGTACCTTTGCAGTCAATCCAATATAATCCAGATAAAATGATGTTCTGAACATGCAGACAATTAAAACAGCGTAACTATGCCTACATTCTCTTTTTCCTTTTCAGTTCTATTACAATTGAAAATTCTGTTTTAAACCACCTAAAACATACAGAACAGGCAGCAATGGGTTATCACAGACCACAGCAGCACTGACAAACCCATCAAGTCACTCGTGTTTATTTCTCTGGTCAACAGGGCTGCAAAGTGACTGACCACCGATCCACACGGCTGCTTGTACAGTAATGGTGACCCGTAAAATGACAAAGGCTTAACTTACAGTTCATATCTCAGCAGCATCACTAAAACAGAGGTAAGGAAACCTGTTTTAGAAAAATACATTTACATCACTCCTGAAGGTGGGGCTGACATGTCCCCTTGCTTCTTTTCACCCACATAACGGCACAACTTCCAGCTTTTCTTTGCCTGAATATTGTTTTACTACTTCTTGAGAGGCCCCTATACGAGTTGTAGTGAGACAGGTAGCCCTGCCTGACTACACAGCAGTGGAACAGCTTTAAGTCTGTCACATGATTAAAGCATTTTTGTAAACCTTAAGCAGTGCTTGCATGCCCACTGGCACAAATTTTATTTTGAAGAACTTGGGAAGCTTCCTACTCTCTACAGAGAAGAAAAAGGTTTTTCCCTACCCCAGACTGGGGACATCTGCCTCACTTCTCCTGCGCCCCATGCTACACCAGCAACAGAGTGTGTATTAAATTTTGCTATAACCTGTGCAGTTTGATACTTCAGTAGCACTTCCTGTCCTCTGTTGTTGTTGCACTGTGGACAAAGGTCAAGCATTCAAGATGAACACTGCATTGTTAAGAAACACTCCTGACGAAGAAGCTGCACTGGTCACACGCAGCCCCTACTGGCACTGGAACGTCACTGCAGGCACAACGCAGATGCAACAGAAAGTACGTCGCCCGGTCAGATATACACCACATGCACACGTACAAGCATGTGATGCAGATAACCGCTTCAGCACATTTCAATACAAGGGAAAACAAGGGGCGACACTGACAAAACCAGAACTAAACTCCACAGCCGTGAAGCAGCTTGCTTGGGGGAGTACAGAGCTGATAAACAGGAAACTCTGTGCTCACACAGGCAGGTAATTGGAGGATGTTTCTAGCAAGACAGGAAACAAAGCCTCCATCTCCCCACAACTCAGTCATGCAACCCCACTGTTGAGCAGACAGAGAGACCCCCCCCCAGCTCT